TGTAAGGAGCGAAATAACAAGGCCGCACTAAAAACACTATTAACAATATCTGTGTTTTTCACTTCTTGCACGAATTTTCCCATCTGCAAAGTACATGTGCCCTTGGTTTCAATATGAGTGTTCCTAAAACAGAAAATTGCAGAAGTAATTCTTGTATCTATGACAGAGCAACGGCTCAAGGTGAATTTGCTTCTAAAATCCTTAATTTCGTACTCTACTATGCAATAGTACCTGAATCGATAAGCATGATTCTCACACTCTCTACTCTTGATATCGATTTCGAAGTCTAAATAGAGATTGTAACGGATCAGTGTTCATATTGGTAACATAACTTGGTGTAACTTGCAGGTTTTAAGTAATCACATTTAAATTGTTTTTTTTTTTTTTTTAAATTCTATTCAATGGCAAACGCGGACAATTAGGATTTTCTATCATTCGCTACCATTATGATCCTGTAATTCACTGGCTTTGCCATATATTGCTTCTCAACATGCGGACAAAGAGATAAGGACGTTTTTTCAAATTCGAGTAACGCGTAATATTCAAATAACCCTCTGATCTTACGAAGATATTTAGGACCAAGTAACTGCCTAAACAAATTACGGAAATTACCTACTTTCAAGGAACGTATTGCGCATGTGATTGTAAAATAATATGTGAAAATGGCATAGTTGCATTACGGAATACGGGCATCATTGTAACAAATCTTTGAATAAATATACCATCAAATCTATACATGGATAGCGAGATGTGATTCCGTATTCTTCAAGCGCATGTCTTTAACATGAGCAATTTTGATTGAACTACATTTTTTCTTCAGGGGATTATAAGCATCTAAGATCATGGGCCGAAGTGCCTGTACTGATCCTTCCGTTTACTTTCTGAAAATCTCTTTCAGAGATCGAATAAACTGGCAACAACGGAGACCGTCGACCTTACGAAAAAAGAATATATTTTGTTGGGCATTATACGAACTATTTTAATTAATATAGCTAAATAAATGTTTCAAGTTTTACGTTCGGTACCGTGTTAGCTAAGTACTGCTTCAGACAGCAGGCTCCGGGCACAAAACGAAGCGTGTCTACAGCCCGTGCGTCTGGTTTATGCATGAAAACTTTGTTTAGTTGAAATGTGCAGTTATGATTGCCTAGCTCTGGGGGTAATTAATAGAGGTTTTGGGTCGACGGTTGTGCCCAAAGGCAGAATTATTCAGTCTTAGAATATCAGTTCGTGGTCACGTGTAAATAGCCGGCATGTAAATACTACATTACGACCGCTATGTAACGTGGCGTCTCATCGATTATAAAAAATATAACCATCGTCACTATTACATCCACACATTTCGTTTAAACAGGTATTTTTATATACATTTAAAATGAAGGCTCTAAAATATTATACATAGTTCTGTTATGGGCTTTTTCCCAAAGAAAATCGCAACACACTGAAGTTACACTTCCGTTTGAATACCTTAGATCCAGTTTCTGTAGAAACTGGATGAATCGCTTTGAAGGACCAAGGGTCACGTAACTTGTCGAACTTCTAGCATGTTCTGAACAATACGTTTTCATACAATTTCCTTTTCTTAGTGAACAAATTGGTCCCGAAAGGCCTCGAACGGGTAAAAACGGGTCTGAAGAAGGCGTAGCGATCCTTTTTAAAAAAAATATTTAGTAAATCGTCAACACGGGTCACCATGTTTTATCCCAAAATACTGATTTATGGTGATAGACAAAGACGTGCAGCTAATATATTGCGACCAGGCACTTGAGGAACGGATACAAACGCGACAAAGAAATTGTCAGTTTTACATGTTTAAACAGTAAAAAGTGAAACTAAAATGACACGGTAACGAGATGGGCTCTACAACGCTTGGAGTTACGTTATGGGCTTAATTTGCTTCCAATGAACTTCAGCATCTGTTTTTTGTAGGCCATGGTCGTCTACCTATGTAGCGTTGTTCAAAGCTTCAAACTGTAAAAGTATTACTACTAAATATTTTTATCGAATTGTTAGTAAGTTTAGGTGTCAAAAAAGCACAACATTTGCTGATATAAGAGCGGTACCTTTTTAACGAACTGCGCCCCTGAAGACGGCGAATTTATTCATTTATCGGTGACCGAAAAATAAATGCACAAATACATACATAGATCAGAAGTGAGTAATAACTGTGAAGTGGGTGGATAATCCAATCATGGATATAACTGTATTTGTACATTGCTATCTAACGCTTATAGTGGGCAAACTTTTTATAGCTTCATACTTACCACAAAGTACACACACATTGAAAAGAGAAACTGCAGCATGGTCTTCTATTGAATATAGGTTTTATATTGTTATTCATAATATATATATATATATAATAAAAAGAAGTCTGAAGTGTAGAAGTTTTGACTCACATAAGTTGTATAGGCGTGGGAACCTTTGTGTATAGCACTATATTTGCTAACCATAGAAGCATGTATTCAAATTCACTATGTTGACTTCTCGCTGTATGTACATTTTACCACTCCAGTAACGAAAACTTCGTACATTTTTTTCTTTTTGGACGCCTCGGTGATGAGATTTAAAGTCGAGCTGAGTTCTAAGATGGACCGATCTATCTCTACAGCCATTAACTACCTTCGACGGTGTGTCTGCTAAAATATTTAAGAAGGAATGGGTCCCAAATTCACCATGAACCGCCGTCAGGTCCAAGCAACTAATGCAAATTATAGATTGTAGAAAAAATACTGCGAGGTTATATTTTGTCGCAAAGTATACAAAATTCTCAGATCGTAGGACGATAGCCGTAGCGACGACTTATACGTTAACTTTCTTGACAAAAGTTCGTTGGTTGGCTAGCACCATTTAGAAAATTCCTGATAATATGTCTTGTTGAATATAATTAAAGCCTTACGTTTTTCTCTAAGTCTTTGTTGATTCGGTAAAAGCCGGTCGGCAAGAGGACGTACGTCAGTTTCTCCATGATGCTAGGAAAAAGGTTCCCTTTTGTATATCTAAGTTACGGGTTGAAATCTTGACCGATATGACTACCGATAACAACGGATTGAGTTCATATCTTATGAGGCTGTTCGGTAGGCCGCCTGCAGATTACGCAAAATATCCATATGGGTAAATCCGTATGGGAAAATAGGAAAACGGTTGAACACGGCGAATCCAAACAGAAAAAAGCTCGGGATTATTGATCCAGTTGACCAACTGCACAGACATCGACTGCTGGAGGCTACTGCAAAATGGACTTAAGCGTAAATTTTCTGGTAACGGAGGTGAGCATTCATGAAGTCTTTGAAGTCTATCAGATTGCCATCAAATGGCCATTCTCGACATTATGGTTATACAATAAGACATTTTGAAATATGCCGCGTTTGTTGATATCATGGCAACACCATAGTGTTAATAGAATACTGCTTTTTTCACTATTCCGAAGTAAAAAAGTGGAACCGGTAACAGCAAAGATTACATTTAATGTAAAATTCTAATATTTGGTGCCTAAAAGGCATATTTACAGATAACAGGAGCGCTAATGTTATTAGCAAAAAATCCAACTACTGACACTATTAAAACGTATTTGTCTTGGAATTTGCCTTAATCACAGTTATGATCTTCTGAGCTTGAAATACAGTTACTTACAAAACAGGTATTTGTACAACGCAGGTTCTGGTGTTTATACTGGTGCAAGACCCTTGACGAGTTTTTCTTAGCCATTCTCTACGTTAGTTATGATAGACATAATTAGTTTTCAAATATTTAGAGCGATTAGTAGTTCTGAATCAACAGAGAAAATATATCTTAACGGGTCATCAGCGTTTGCTTTTCATAAGCTTCAAATCCAACTCTCTACTTGTTGTTATTTATGTAAGGACTTCGGATGCCTAATAAATTCATTTTTGTTATTTTAATAAGATTACTCAGTTAATTGCGCACGAGATAATGTTTGTTTCTGAAAAACTAAAATATACACACTTGTGTTAAACAATAAATACGTATCGATATCTAATCAAAAGATATATCTAAGTTCTAACCTTTCATAAGTCCTATTCCTAAAAAAAGATTCTTTACGAACATTTTATGTTATGCATGCTTCCTTACACACCTTCAATCTGATTTACTTTTCAATAGAGTAATTTATTTATATTTAAGTAATACTTTTCAAGGATTAACTTAGCAATTTTCTGCAGAAAAAAATATTTATTTTTAGTTGATATGCGATAACGTTGCGGTGTTGTTTGTGCTATTACTCTCTCATTTATCTCCTATAATTAGATGGAGCGCTGCAGGAAGCTTCGAATATAAATGTTAACTTAAGTCAGTTACGTTTAGATTACAGTTCCGTAAACTGTTGTAAACTATGGAAAACAGATAACAAATCAAGAATGCTTTGGCTACTTTTTTTAATTGTGCTACCAAAGTATTATGAAAAAATATTTTAAAAGTACTCATGCTATACAATTGTGATATCTTGTTTTTCAAAGTTTACCGCCGCCCCGCGTTGGCACACAGCAATATGCTAACAACCGCTGCATTTCTAGCTATACCTATCGCATATACATTTCGAGGACCTTGCGTTAGTCAACCAGTTTCAATGCATAGGACAAAACCTGTAAATACTTCTAGCTAGCATTCGTTTTCTCTCGAAAATAGCTTCGAAACTACTCAGAGAATCTGCCGTGTCTTTGGACATTGGAACATTGGGATCACTGGTGAGAGCAGAAGTTTCAGTGTTCATGTAATTAGCACCGTCAGTGAAAATATAATAGCGCCAATAATGCAAAATAACTTAGCTTAAAAAGTTTTCATCATAAAGGTGAATTGCTGACACTATGGCCTAGTTTAATCTTACCTCTAACTTATCAGTTTTATTTCCTGGATACAGACCGAATACCAATAAGGAACTACTCGCTCCGTGAGTGAACTTTCTATATAGGATTGCGTCGTCTGCTTCGGCTGCCTTCGCAAACGCAAGGCACAAACAGTCGAGAGTCTCTCGATGCTATCGCCAACGACGACAGCGTTGAGTCAGCAGCATCAGGGCTGCAAAGTAAATTTTCTTGCAAACCAACCAGACTAGTAGCTAAGGAGGCAATCGGCACTATTTATTGTGTTGTGCCTACCTAAACAATTCGGTAGTTATCGTTTGTGCTTCGTAACTAGTGTCCTGCAGGGTCTAATATATCCTGAATCTGTTTGTGGGTATTTTGTTGTTTAACGAAACGTGCGGCGCGAAGCGACGCGACGCTAACCGGCGAGAGGAGGCGTTTGCGCCGGAGGATTGATCGGTCGTTGGCAGACACGGACTCGTGGTCGGAGCAACGGTGCGCGAGCAGCAAGCACTCGTCGTTCGGTTCATATCAAACTGAATCTAATAAACCCCGTGTCCACGAGTGGCGACGGCGGCAACGGTCGAGCTAAACCAGCTATTTCAATTCGACTCGGCGTGTTTACCTGCCAACAAGATTGTCTACAGCAACTGATCTGTGTTATACAGCCAATAAGAGCAGCGATAGCAACAGCTCGTAGCCTATTGCTAGCTATCTGCTTGTTCGGCGGCGACTGCCTCCGGCGGCTGTTGATGGTGCTTTTGTTCGTGTGTTAATCGAGACTGCGATAACTTTTACTAGTAGTTCGACTACGGGCCTTAAACGTGAAGGTTAACGAAACAAGCTACAAGGGTGGCTGCAACGGTTACAGTTCGTTAGTTATATGCTACTGCTACTATACTAAGCTGAAGCTAATACAGAAACAAATCTCGTTCTATTCAGGGAGGAAATATTGTCGCGGCGGAATTGCTAGCGACCAACGGCGGGCGATCGATTGTCTATTACTTTGCATCTGACAGTCCACGACAGTATGTCTGGATATCGGGGCAATCCCGGCGGTTCGTGGGTTCGTGGAGGTGGACAAGAGTACCCACCGTATGCCGCTGGGGGAGGTGGAGGCGGCGGTGGTGGCGGATACCCGGCACATCAGGGCCATCAGCAGGGGTACGGCGCACAGGGCCAGTACGGTGGCCATCATGACCAGGGCAACTATGGGATGGGTGGGAACTATGGGGGTCATCAGCAAGCCGGTGGAACTCCGCAGAGTAATCATCGCTGTTTCACCGGCAAGATCAGTAAACTGATGGATCATTTCGGGTTCGTCGATGGTGATGTCTTCTTTCAGCTGAACTGTGTTAAGGGCAAGTTTCCGCGCGAGGGCGACACCGTCTATTGTGAGGCTTCGTTCAATCCTAAGATGCCGTTCAAGTGGACGGCCACCAGTGTCCAGCTACAGCCTAGCGACGATCATCGCAACGGAGGCGATAAGAGGTCGCCACCGCGCGGCGGTGGCCGAAGAGTGTCTCCGCGACGAATGTCGCCTCGTCGAGGGTCACCGCCAAGGCGGTATTCTCCGCCGCGGAGGCGGCCCGGTAGATCGCGTTCGCCTATGCGACGATTTTCACCAAAACGTGGCGGCGGGGCCAGGGATCGTAGTAGTCCAGCTAACAAACGTCGAATTTCCAAAGCATTGTTGCATAATGTCGACCTAGAGTCAACGTCGGCCAGTGCGACGGAACTCAAACGTCGCTATCCGAACTTGTACATCCCATCCGATTTCTTCCATGCAAACATCTTATGGAGCTCGGCATTTCCACCACTCAATCCGCTCGATTTGAGCCTTGCTCATTGTGCATACGCTGTGTGCCCTCGTGAGAAACGTCTGCCTGGAGCTCGCGCGCCAGCCAGGGAACCCTTCGACACATCGTACAAGTACGTCGCTAAGGTGGTCCTGCTGGCGACCTCGGCACTGAACGACATCTATGAACAGTGCTGCGGTCCATCGGATAGAGCGGCTGCTGACAAACAGCTTAAGCATCCTCTTGAGCTTGTGCAGCTTCTCGTAGGTGTAAAGGCAGGCAAGTTTGAGGCTATTGGCGGCCCGTGGAGTCCGTCGCAGGATGGCGACGATCCGGAGCATCCGCAGACACTCATTAATACCGCTATTCGCTCAACACAATTCTTGACAGGCATCGATCTACGTGGCTGCACTAGTTGGCCGAGGATCACTGAGGTGCGTTACCGGCGTGAGGTGAATGGCGAGGTCTCCATGGAGAAGGTGGTGATGTTTTTTCCTGATGTCTGGCGTTGTGTCCCCACCCATCGCGAGTGGAGCAAGCTGTCCGAGGAACTGCGCAAGGAAACTCCTATGGAGGAGGAGCCGGCCTCCACTGGTGACGATCAAATAGCGGCTTCGGGCGATAGCAAAAAGGAGGACGATTCGGCAGAGCCAGCAGCGGTGCACAATGAGGAGTCTCAGGAATCGAGCGGGGAAATTTTTCTGCCTGACGGAACCGATCCCCGTCAGATGAAGGTTGCTGATTTGCGGGTCGAGCTCGAGAAGCGAGGTCTCGACACTAAGGGTGTAAAACAAGCGCTCGCTGAACGTCTGGTCGAATTTTTACAGCATGAAAAACAGAAGGACCAGTCCGCCGGGGATTCTGGGGAAAACAAAGAAGAGGTGGTTGACTCCAAGGGAGCTCCCGAAGGTATGGAGGTAGATAGCCAGGAGAATACTCAGGATAAGCCAGATGGAAAGGAGGGGTCTACTACTGGCGGAAAGGAGGAGGAGAAGGATAAGTCAAAGGACAGTAATAATAAATCGACCAAAGACGATGAGAAAAAAGAACAAACTCTGCCTATCTACGAGCTACCAACAAATCCTGCTATTGTAGTTGTGCCTAACCGCAAGGCTAAGGGAGGCAAGTTTGACTGCCGTCTCGTCAATCTTTCGCGACTTCTTGAGTACAGCGAATCTGATAACAAAGAAATTTTATTTGAGTTGAACTTGTTCTGTGAATTGTTGAAGTCTATGTTTTATCGTGATCATGCGTTTAACTTGTATAAGGGTTTGCTCGAAGCTCCTGATCTAAATAAAGAACAGGAGAACCGGCTAGCAGCAAAGAAGAAGCGCGAGGAGCTGAAAAAAGAAGATAAAAAAGACGAAGACAAAAAAGCTGCCGCTCCGGAGGCGGACGAGATTGAGATCGAGATTAAGGACGAAGTTGACGAAGATTATGAGAAGATCTATGACGAGAAAACTGTACGTAACCCAGCTCTGCTGCTTTCGTGCATCTTCTTCGATTTGAACCGTGTCGGACATTTCAGCTCGAAAGAGATTGAAGATATCGCGCTGTCGTTGAACCTTCATCTATCTCGCGCCCAGGTCCGGAGCGTACTTAAGAAGGTGATTACAAAGGAGGGCAACGTGGAGTATAAGAAACTCACACACCGTCACATGGATCCAGAAGAACCACCCGAGGGCTTTGAGCATCCTACATTACTTAGCGCCACCCAACTCCGGCAGGTCGTTAAGGGAAATAATTTAGGAAGCGTTGACGATACGTCATCTTCTGTTTCGGCAGCTTCTTTCAGTGCTGTGTTCGTGAACGTCGAGAAACTGCGCGACCAAGTGGAGAAAAGTGAACGCGCTAAGGTCGAAGTGGATGCTGCTCTACTGAAGTCTCAGGATGAGCTAGAAAAGACCATTCACCAACTCGACCGCGTTAAAAAGGACCGCGATCGTCTCGAGGCGGACTTAGGCAAAGCTAACAAGGTCATCGACAACCTGAACGAGGAACTCCGGCAGTCGCGTCGTTTCTCGAGTGACATCCGTTACACTGCGCACAATACAAAAAATACACTCAAGAAGGCGCTTGAAAATCTTGAACGGTGTCTTGAGCGCGATAAGAAAAGGAGCAATGCTGATAAAGCAGGCGCAGCAGATAACTGTGGAGGTGGAAGCGAAACGAAGACAGAGGACACTGCCACGCCTAAGGAAGGCGACGAGGCTAGTTCTGGCGTTACAGCCAACCAAAAATCCGAGGAATCACAGATTAAAAAGGAGGAAAGCAGTGAACCCGGCACACCGGCAGGCGACGGCTCGAAACCCGCGGAGGTGAAGGATGAAGGCGCGGCAGAGCAAAAAGGTCAATTCACAGCCGGTGCCCAAGACGTCAAGGATGAGGCGATCGTAAAGGAGGAAACGGCTGGGGAGGTCGAGAAAACTGCCGCTCCATCGGATGGTGGTCCTGCCCCGAAAAGGGCCAAGGTTTCCGCAGGCAAAAGCCCAATCCGACCGAATGGCAAAGCCGGCACTAAGAAGAAATAAGCTGCATCGGACTAGTGAATAAGTGGCGTTTAGTGAACTGCTGCAGTAAACGGCAGCCGTTGTACCGTGGAGTCTGTCCGCGAGGAGAAACTAGCGGACGACTAGAAACCAGTCGGAGATAGCGGATGCGGCGGTAGCCACTGCACCATCAGCAGCACTACAGATTTGACCATTTATTGTGCAGATAGAATTGAAGCATATATATATATATATGTGCATATATATATGTATATAAATACATATATATATATGTGTATATATATATATTATGAACTATATAAGCCAGGACTAGTATTGTCTCTACGGAAAAGAAGTCGAATGATTCCTGCACGAATGTATATAAGAATGTGTTGAAAACGCTGATACGTAGATGAGGGAAGATCGGGACTTAAAGAAGACTGTGCTCTACGTAATTTCTATTATTAGTCAACTGCTCCTATTACTACGAATTCGCTGTTACGGTAGCCTTCTGTACAGCTCGATTTCGATGGTGAAGGTGCAAATTATCATTTATTAGGATGTAGTAACATTAATATAGTGTCAGTGAAAGTTTAAACGAGAAGATTAAAAATCATAGTGAAAGTTTAAACGAGAAGATCGAAGAAAAATCGTGGGGACAGTAGTGTGGAGGTTTTCGAATGACGGTTGCAGCGAAAGAAATTAGGGGAAAACCGTTTGCGATAACTAAAAGTTTAGATCATCGGCGGATTAAGCAAGCACTGTTAGTATTTCTAGTAATCAACGAGCTATCGGAACGATGACCGCAACAACTTGGAGGTTATCAATTATTACTATTATATTGTCGTAATAATTTTGAATTAAGATAATTAGATTTATTTTCCTACCCCGTCCCGCTATTTTGACTATTATTACTATTATTAGTATTATTGAGCAATATGGCAAGTAAAGATGTATTCAGTCAGAGCCTGCTTTTTTTGGCAACAAAAAGCAGGCCAGCAAACGAACAATAACTTAGCGCTGCAAAGTTACAACGTACGCATCCACGTTTAAGCACACATGGCAATTAATGGGTAGCTTTCACATGTTCGCATGGAGGATACTGCAGTGGCAAACCCAAATCGTGGTTTGTAGTAGAGCAGGCGGTGGCAGTTGCCGTGTGTACAATACTATCAACAATAATGATAAAAACACAATAAACAGTAAAACTCTCTCAGGCGTACGCACACCTGAGAAAAGATTATATCGTTGTTCACTACACGCGAGGATTAAAAATCAAGAAGGTTAAGCAATTAAAGAAAACGCGCGCGTTATTTAAACACGAGATGATCACAGCGGTCACCGTTGATTTCACCACGAAAAAATGGTAAGTTTCACAGTAAAAAATAAACATACCTCAACAAAAACAATCGGGTGTAATTATTACCGCGTTTCATAGATAAATTTATGTCGTTAGAGATCATTCGAGCGGAACGACATTACTTGTTAAAAACGTAGACCCAAAGTATTGTGCGCACAGGCATGTGCATGCGTAAGTCTTTATCCAGCTGATAGTTGTGAATAATCTGTATTTTTGCCGATATACACAGCAGTAAAGCTTACGATCTCGATCAAAGAAAAAATTGTAGTTCTGTTGTTGAATGTGATATCGGTCGATCTATAGTGTTAACTAATAATATCTCATACGATACAGAGAGGAACTAGGATAAATACAATTTAATTTTATTAGAGTAATAATTTCAAAATGCATCAGTTATATAAATTCAGAGTAATAATCTCTCTGAGTAATAAATTTCCACTCCAAGCGACTCACATTTCAGAAAAAAGTGAGAACTCGAAGCGATCACAATTGTATAATGATATCGAATGTTCTAGCGACAAAGGGGCATGGAGTTACGCTTTTATTTTGCCAACGCATTGTACGCTCATATATAGCTCGATATCAGAGATGCGTCGATGACAAAACCGGTGATGGAGAAAACTGCACGAGTTTGGTGTTTAAAATGAGGCGAAAACATTATACCGGACAAGTTAGTGTCAGGTTTGTCACACATCTCGAACAGTACATTACAGAACTGAGATATAATTATTGATCGGTGGTTTATAGCGCCCCTGTTTAGAAGTGACGCGGTAGTTTTGGGAATCGTCGACAACAACGTGAAGACCAAAGAGACCAGTTAAATCCATACTACTTTTAGACATTGCCGGAGAATTTTCGGTAAAAAACGGTGAGCGTTCCAGTATAGTCAAACTTAACAACTATACCCTATAAAGCCAATACTTTAACACAATAAACGGTAAGCAATGTCTTTGTCAAAAGAAATATATAATTTTATCAGGAACATTTAATTAGTTTTATGTTGGAAAGGAATTTAACAGCACCAAAGAAATGCTGTGTTAATCCTATAAAAGTAACTTTATTACTTATATATATATATATATATATAGTATATAATCAAAAATTCGTTCTAGAAGAATAGTAAAAGGCACCCTTAGAAGTATACAATTTAAAATAAGCATCTTGATTTGTTTAAAAATTAGATGTCTTTTTAAATTCTCAATAAAAGGCATAAAAGGTGCTTGCTTCATATTTCGTACTTTTTCTGCTTGTGGCAGTACGGAACGTCGAACTTGAAACATTTAAATGAAACAAAGGGACAAGCAGGCAGTGCGTTTTTAGCAAGAAATGACATATGCGCCATCATTATAAGACCACTTCAGTGCAGAAGGAAGCAAATAAATTTTGAGAAACTTCTTAAAGGTGCTGCAAAACTTTCGGTAAGAACGCGAGACTATATTGTAAGAAATTTTAAATTACGTGAGGTGTTATGTATTAGATATGAAGATTGGGCATTTTTGCGAACCGCGGGTTTTAAAAAAAAAACGACTGCCATTAGTACTTTTAGTTGCCTAGGGTAGAATATAAAGGACTGTAATGAGGATTTTTCAAAAGCCTGGCGTATTCACCTGAAAAATTTTAAGAATTCTTGTAAATGCGGCATAAACGCGATTGCAGTGACGCTAAAAACTCTCAGTAGAGAAGGCCTCTACTCAAAGGATTTTCCGTACTTTTGCATATAGAAAGTAATACCACGTGTCAGATAAATCTAAATTAAAAGTACAACACCCCAATAAGATGGTTCCTCACTACTCCGGTTTTATGTTTTTCCACTCCCATTTTCTCCCAGAATCTACACCCACCATCCCCGCATATTCGGCGGTATCCGTTTAAAAATAAGTCAGTTCCATGAACAAAACAGCAATATACAGAAATGGTAATATAATTAGCAAAACTGCGTCGCCTTGCGAGTCAAATTGGCGTTATCAAACCTAATTGAATGCGACCTTCCACTGGGAAGAATCCACTGAAAGGTAGTGATAACGTACTTCAGCATTTAAAACGCTGTTTGGTGGGAGTGAGCAGTAAGCGACAGATCGCTATTTATGAGTATCTAGTCTTTTGGATCAAATATCGTCTGCAACAAAGTTACGCACTCAATTCTGCACTATAGCCGTGCAAGAGTTTTGACTATGTTCTTTCAGCGCGATTTGCACACGTTCATGAAGCGTCTCCAGATGAATAACCCTTTAATTTCCGATGAATAATCGTAACTGCTACAAGACCTTTATCATAGACAATAATTACACTAAGTTTCGTTCTGTTTGTATAACTAATTGTTGCTTTATAGTCATCCAACTCGCATTTACTCTCATATGTTAAGTTCTGCCTTGATGCACAATGATTGATGCAGTTTCCATCCAGCTATCTAATCATGTAACCAAGCTTCTTGCCTGCAATTAGTAAAAATCGGCGTATTGATGGATTTTTATTTAACTTGCAAGTTTAACTAGAGAATCCGCTAGGCAATGGTAATTATTTAGTATATCGTGACGTTTCGCTAAAGTTTCTTCTTGAAATCGTTAATCAGCCTTTTAGCTTCCATTCTACGACGCTCAAATCCATTGGCTAAGCTTCATGAGCTCCCGAGGATTGTAGCCACTAAGAAATTTGAACTCTTCTCGACCCGATGGCGTTTTCGCTTTGGGATGCTGAATAAAGTGGACAGCTGCGTAATAATCTAGAACGGACTCCATCTCAACAGCGTTATAGTTCTCCGTTCGTATTGGAATAAATGGCTCAAAGAACTCGAAGCCCTGAAACAAAGGTCAAACAAAAGATTAAATTTATTTATGGATATGTGTTAAAAGGACATTGTTGTTTACGAAAATACGTAAAGTTAGCACTACTTACAGTGCAGCTTAAATTATGGTCGATAAATTACTAAATAGTACAGATTTTGTAACTAACCATTAAAATTACGTTCCAAATTAGTTGAATAAAATAGAATATAAATTGTCTGTCATTCGATATGTTAAGGATACACGTTTATTGCTAATACGATAAAAGATCAAGGATAGCTGGTAAACTGCTGAACACTCAATAAAGTGCAGCATGCGTGTTGGAAGAAGGGGCGCCATCGCTGTGTTTTAAACGTCACCACGATTGTATCTTGGTCAAATTGTGGCAGAAGAACATCGAAGATTTTGATTCTCTCGCCAAACCGTTATTTGAAATTACCGATTACTATGTTTATTAATCTAGCTTAGAGTATATTTAAGTTGAGAATATCACACTATACCTCTTTGCCAAGTAGATACTGTGGCATGAAGCTTGGCACCTTTTCAAGTTCGAGGCCTCGATGTTTCAGCGACAATGCGTTTTCGTCAACAGTGACAACTATCGCTGCATTTTTCCAGTCGTTTCGAAGGACTTGCTTGAATGCTCGTAGCAAAGAAAAATCATCTACAGGAATGAATGACCTATTAGGTCGTTTTAGGTAGGAGATCTCAAACAGGTTGTTGACGCCATCGATCGCCACTAAGGTCTTCAATCTGCCAATAACACACAGAGAGAACCAAATTCATAGGATTCTAGATAATTATGATTTTATTATTCTATTCGTTCTTTTTGCACTCTACAGTTCATGTAAACGAAAGTGTGTATATTGTAACTTATTACTCAATGTGACCAGGCATGCGAACACAATAAAATAATTTAAACACTTGCTTTGAATTATGGCCATAATGGAAACACTTTGAGCACAAAAATTTCAATAACAATCTACAATGTACATATTACAGATTGAGTGCAGTTATTCAAGATTGGATAACGACGTAGTATATATATATATATATACATATATATGAGGCTTGTCTGATTTATATTCGTTGATTAGAACAAATAGATAAAGTAATAAAGCAAAATGTCTAATACTCACTTGCCAGAATCCGTATACGACTTAATCTCCTGTAAGAGGGCGTCAACACATAGGCACGCATGCTTTACACGCTTGACTCCGTGCCCGACAATATTTTCAAGGGACTCACCTTTCGTTGTCACCTCCTGCAGTTACCAAAGTGAATAGAAAAAGATTCAGTGAATTTGTCGATCGTCGAATTCATTGCAACTGCAGAGTGAGTGCGCGTTTTTTAGTACAAGAGAAACCGAACTACTAATTTGCATCGCAAAAGAAATATTTAAACTATATACGTTGGTCATATGCAGATAGTCAGTACTTAATGCTAGAGGATGAACTTGAAGCATATATAATAGAAGTACAGCTTACGTAGCGTGTTTGTTAAGAGTGAAAGCCGACCAACTCGGTAAAGGAGCATTAGCCTATAGGTTCATATAGTTCTTACGCTATCATTGTTACCTTGTCACTCCAGTTCCAATCTTTTGTGGTCTTAAGATCAAGTCGTGATAAAATGTCGGCGTTGAGCAAACGGAAATGCTGAAGCCAGACGGCTGCATCCAAGGGTGAGTCCATGAGCAATGGGTTTGTTTCATTTACTTGGACTTCCTTTGGTCGCCTAGTCCACTCAGGAACTAGGTGGAGGAAAATAAGACAATTTATACTTCAGCGTCGGCTTCGACTTCGCAGTTCTACGTCTTAGACAATGGCTTTTTGCATCAACGGTTACAGTCAATATGTACGAGCTTAAAATGAAATTTTTCATATTAATAAACAAATACTTTTTTTTAACCAAAATTGGCAAACTTAATCTTAAAACATCAAAATACGTTTGATAATAAATGGACAGCGAAATGCAGTATATTTCCAATATAAAGATATACTAGCGTATATATTACATATATATTATTTTATGGTCATTTGTACAGAGAGTAAACTTCATCCTTGGTGGAGGAGCGTCAGGTCAAATTATACACTGACCAACTCTTAATCGAACTTCTTGATGAGAAGGTGTTCTTGGTGATTGAGAGGAGGTGTGCATAGCTACAACTATTCTACTGGAAATTCGTTTATGAATACGTATTTGTCGAAAAAGGAATAAAGAAAACAGAAGACAAGCAACAATAAAACAACAAGAGAACGGGTCAAAGAATATCAGATGGCTACTTACGCCAGGGTTTTGCAATAATAAGGAAGTCATTCAAATAGGCATAGTGTAAAATGTGAGCCATTGTATAACTTTTGCCCGTGCCTAAACGTCCGTAAAGCATGATACGAAGAGCAGGTTGTGAATAATCGTAATCGCGAAGGTAATCACGGGCCTCAAGAAAGGGAGCTCGCACCATCATTGAAAACTCGCCAGCGAGTTTCTGAAATTGCCGAGCCTTTTTGTTTAACTGGTATACATTGAAAAGTCCAGCCTGAACACTTTTTGGTACTTGATAGAATTTGCCGATATGTTCCCGTGTGTGTTTTACCTGTGAAAATTCGATAAGATAAAAGAAGCAATTAAAATCACGTTTTATATAACGTTTATATATTTGCTAAGGCGCCCATTTCCGTTTATATCACGAGCATACCACTCAATGCAAATTCAATGCCACGCCAATCTATTTGTTCCTTTTTTTAAGGTTTTACTATATTTTGCGATAAAAGACATACTGATTTATTGGTACTATTTACTTGCTAACATTGCCTATACATTTTTACAACGCATCGCTTGGCGCTATCCCTTCCTTTAACTTGCCCCACAGTGCCTGCTTGTCCTGAGCTAATTTCACAAGGAACATTAACTCGGTGTAATAAGAACTGTGTGAAATTTTTCAAAACTTACGTCCGAGTACGAGGATTCGTTAAACTGCTATCAAATCTATGATAAGCTAGTAGTAGTAATAAACATGGTCAGATGATTTAAACTAGTTTCCGAAGAAATATTCCTTAGAATATTAATATTTCCTAAGAAGGTTTCTTATATTAACTCTGCAACAATTTTACAGAAAGAAAACGCTCGCAAGCTTTCATTACGACATCGATATCAACCAAAAATCTATGCATTTGTATGATAAGTGCGCAGATCTTTGCTTGATATATTGCTTGCGTAATGAATTTATTCACCTTAATACGTTTGTTCGGCAAAATGGAAGATACAGGTGAATGTATTGATAACAGAATCACAGTGGTACATATATATTTATGACTGAGATATCATAGAAAGCTACAAGATACTACAATATAAACGCGCTATAGATGACAAGAGGAGACTTTTAGTGCAGCACGACAACAAAAAAAAATATTAACGTTACATCTGTGGTGCTTTTTATGAACAAATGCACTTTCACAAAAAATCCAATTTGAAAACAACTTTACGAAGGGACTGAAACTGAAATTTTCGTTGAAGAAGAATTACAGCGAAAATATCACCTCAAAATCTATTGCCAATCAGACTCCAACGTTTACTTTTCAACGCATCGTGTTCACCCACCGGATCGCTAATCAAAGTCCTAAAAGGTGCTGGGAGCTGTTGTTTTTTACTTGTATCAGCATCACTTTCGGGCCGATCTCGCTGTGTTTGTGTAGCAGGTGCCGCTTGCGTAGATACGCTTCGAACGGGACCGCGTCCTGACAAGATGTTACCTTGGAAACCACCTACGCCACCAGAGTTTACTAAGCAGCATAGTCAAGAATCACGACATAATTGGGCACTTTTTTAACATATAACTAAATGCATACAAAGAAGCATTCAAATTTGTATCGACTGACAATATTCATAAAACACACACGTGCAGAAAAACACCTATCTAGCTAAAAAAAAATATCGTATAAATAGCTATAAATGCAAGATCGTAAACTTCATCGCCTATACTTTTGCATAGATTTGATAGCTTTCAATTATAACTTTGTTCCACAAAGTTTGATATATACATACTGATTCAATCTACTACCGTTAACTAATTTTGTGAATCAAAAATTCAATTATCTGAGTAGTATTTTTCCACGCAAACTTACGGATACGAGTGGATGCATACAGTAAACGAATATATTTTATACATTTGATGGAAAAACTACCTGATCTCTACGTAACTACATTATTAAAAATAAGCCAGGTCAAGGAAACCTGACTAGAAAGAACATATTTAAAGACGTTAATAATAAACAGTAGGGACAAACATAAGATTTTTTTGAAGACTCTAAAACTGCACAAAATTGAAGCCAATTTATGGAAAAGATATTTTTTGCATACATACGGCCTCATTTTATCTGATGTTGTCTATGAGGAGAAGATTAACGTATATGTCAGGAAAAGAAAAGTGTTTTTGCTGTTTATTAAATATACTAGAAGCAAAAGGCTAAAGGCAAAATATGCAAACTACTAAACTACATGATGCATAGGACAATGTATTTAATAAGTAGCCCTCTTGATAAGTGCCTTCATTTTTGCCTTAAATAGAACTCATTAAACCACCGAGAATTATCTAAAAACAAAGAGATTTTGGCTTGTTTTAGTCATAAATGGAAGATTTCATACATGTTGTACCATTCTCAAGATGGGATATCAGTGGCGCAAATAACAGAATGTTCTAAAATCGGCGTTTAAGAAAACGTCTCTTAGTATTAAAGCGTTTTAGCTTATTAGCAAATCTCAACAACATTGTCCTGGGGCATAGGAGGCAACGCTTAAAACAAAACAAAGACAATTTATGAAAAACCAGGCAGAAAACTTACATAAACGTGCACGGACTATGGGGGCCGCCATTTTTCTCAAAACCAAACACTCGGAAAGCAGGAGTGGGGCAAAAAGAACAAAAATGAAAAATTAAATCAGTTTTGAGCAATTACATAAGATTGAATTATCGTGCCTATACGATCGATTTAACTTTTTGTTTCACATATTGGTCGGAAATCAAATGTATATAACAATCGGGGGTTTATCACATAAAATTACGCTCGGGATATAGTGATCCGAAAATTAACTTCAACCTGTATGTATGATGCAGAGAGCTTCCCTAGTGAATAATCATGACTTTTGCGCGAAGTCCTTTTACTCTTTTACGAACAGCGCTTATTAGGCAGTCCCTACGAAATGGGTAAGTGTCTAGTAACTTTAAAGGAAATATGAAAGTTAGTCAGAAGCCCAACATTTCGAATTCGAACGCCGGGTGACTTTAGTGCTATCTACGAAATGCAACACGCGCGACACCGCGCTTCAGTCGCTCTGTTTTCGTGTTGCTGATTTCATACACTCCGCTGAGTTGATCTGGCGATGAATTCGGGTGGATTGCCAGTGGAACTATTGCCGATCAACGGACACCTGTTTTGTCGATGCTAAATAAGAGTGAGGTTGACAACTCGCACTATACGAACACACATTGTTTTTGTCAGACGAGGCTAGCTTCAAAGTTGACAAGGAAAGTTCTGTAAGTAAGAAGTCCGATTGTTGCCGTATTGACTAGCATGTTGCTGTCTGAAGATAGCAAGCAAAGAGCGGAAGGATTTATCAGAGTAATCTCAAAGAGTAAATCGAGTAGATTTCCTAGTGTGCCGGTAATCCTATGCGAGACTCTATTAATCTTCGATGGACGATCTCGACTGTACAGTCTAACGTAGCACTTATTTCGTTATTCAAGATATATCCAAATATTTATTATCAGCGTCCGTGTCATCGTGTCACAGGCAAAGAAACGTTGTAAGATCTAAAACGAAGATGTCGTTTTCTTCAAACCACCGTGGACAAAATGCGCCTTCTACGATAACAGAAAGCATCAATGATCCCGTAGAGGCTATGCTAGAACGAACAGGCTGCGCGAAGGAAAATTTCAACCTGCATATGTGTATGGCTGATAAGAAAGATTGGCGAAAATGCCAGGATCTTGTAAAACAGCTTAAGGAGTGTATGCAAAAAAATAGTAAATAGGACACTACAGCACTATCGCCACCGTCATAAACGAAGTTATCGTATAGATGCTCTAAAATTCTTCATATGCGCACATATATTAGCAATTTGCACATAAGTGAAGCAGCAAAAAAAATAGGACTAATAATATGTTTGCACACTTTTTCTGGCCTTATCTGCTTAACTGCCAGGGTAAATGATCACTTCTTCTTAAGTTTAAGAAATAGTTATCCAATAGAGTTCAGTTGATTTTTGAAAATTTCATTATAAAGTATTGATCTGGTGTATCAAATATTTAGAGATAAAGATCAAGATTAAATGATTTTATGATATGTGGGCGGTAAATAAACTTCGTAATTCTTAATCAACCTGCTTCTCCTTCTATTTCTTTTAGTTAGGTTCCTAAGCTTTCTAACTTAATGCGCAGAAGAAACGACTATTGTAAAAATTTGTTTACTATTGTGAAATATGTCTGCTTGATTACGATATCTCAGAATTTCTTAATGAACATAGGGAATCGATAGTATAGACATAAGATGTTTAATCTCAATTTAGATAACTGGACTACATCTAGGAACGCGTAACACTATGTTTAAATGTATAGCTGTTGAATGAATAAAATTTATCGAACATGGACGTCATACAACCTTTGTACTTAGACAATTTGGCTTATTGTAAGCATCATCTGCTTTATTTAGAATATATTGCTTTAGGTTTAAACAACAATATTTCCATAAGATTATTACTCTTTATGGATTCATTATTTTCTTGTATTGTTGTAAAAATAAAAAAACGTTTTTTAGCCCACAGGTTGAATCTGTACGGGAGGCCGGCCACTCGCACTGGCAAAATATTCGACATATCAAAGCAGCCAAAGACCTGAATAAAGCTAAAACAACAGATCGACATGTAAGATTCATTGAGTCAGCTATTCAGATGGGAGGGAGTTCCGATCCCCGTTTAAATAAACACCTTGCAAACGCCATTGAAGCTGCCAAGAGAACACAGGTTTGTATACGAGCATAATGACCACTCATTTTATAAGCCTGTCCGTATCGGGTATATCCGGGTGGTATATTCGAATATGATTAAACGACTCAGATAAAACTGATAAAGCTGTGCGGATATAATAAGCACTAGACATATCACTGAAATGATCTATGCTACGAGAGAATCTTTATTGTAACACGCCAGACTCCAGAAACATATATACATTTCTGGTTTTCAAGGTCGATACATATCCGCTTTCCGTAGTTATTCTTCGTCGATATATATTAACAAAAACCTTTCTTTGTAGGCCATCTTTTTGGGAGAACGTAGGTTTTTTTTTTCCATGTCTTATGCTATATTTTTCTTCCCAGAAAAAAAGTTGCTGAGAAATGAGCAGTTTATGGGCAAAGAAAAATAAATATTCAAGTGATAGATTGACCTCTATGTAAATTGACTCTAAGTAAATTATGAGCATGATATGAACAGATAATTCTTTGCGATCTCACCAGTCATATTTAGATAAAATTAAGTGCCGATTTTTACGCAAATCCTTTCTGTAGATGATATATTGAATCCCGGATAGTACCGCATGTAATATCCAGCGGGAGAACTTCTTTGCAAACACGCTTTTCCTCATATCGAAGCAACGTTAATTGTAATGTTATGCCGATTGTATGATACACCTACCTAATATGTGTTATATCAGGTCTAGATAGCGTTAAGTAGGTTTAGTTTCATTCTTCTAGCAAAAAATTATCGGAGACAGTTACATTTTTATACTTAAAATGGTTCAAGCTATTCAAAGTCCTAATTAAAGATTAGATATGAAACAGACTGATCATCCGTGTACTAATTATCATGATCCAAGTAATAATAGTAACTTAAATTTGTTTAAATTTTCGTGTATCAGATTGTTACCAACGCAGTTATCGAAGCTGTATTAAAACGAGCCAAGGACGGGTCCACTCGAAAAAACACAAGAACCTTAGCTTACGAGTTCGTCGGAGAGAATGGGGCGCTTGTCATTGCCAACTGTGAAGTGTCAAATGTCTCGAAATTCGTGCATACTTTAAGAACAGTACGTAAACAACACAAGAAAATACAAACGGGTAGCCGTAAGCTGTTGGATAAGTGGCCAGAACTCAAAATGGTTTTCTGGGATGGTTTTGAGAAATAATCACGAAAAGCGCATTCGAAATCGTTGGTGTTTGGTAGTATATAGTATAACTCGTATGGCGAATCTAAACCAAAGTAACTTTTTTGTGTTTTGTGCAAATCATAAGCCACCAATTCATCAACAAGACATGTATGGCGTGCTGCGGGTCCAACCAGTACCTACTAATTTAGATTAACATCCGAGAAGCTCCTTCGTTTGAATTGATTTAGCCACTGTCAATGCCACTCTTCGTCACAATAGTTAACAATCATGACGTAGGTCTGGTCTGTTAATTCCTCGTACGAAAGCTGAATTTCGAATGCCTCTATCAATGATTATTAAATGTTACAGAGACAGACCGTCAATTTAAGGAGCATGGTTCATCGTCTGAATCATTCGGAAATTGAGCAAGATAACATCCAATGAATTGTTTGAATTACGTATATACTCAAGAACTTTTCTTTATATTATTTGACGCGTCTTGTAAGCACGCCTTTAATTTCCATACATTTTGCAGTGCTTTCTATTGAAACAAGATCTGTTAACAGACTGAGTGCTTTTTATTTCAGATTTGCAGGAGACACGCCTGGGGGATGGCAAAAGGTGGTGTGAAGGAGAGATTTGTAGAGAAAGGATTTGTTCGCGTTTCGGGTAAGCAGGACGGAGGAAAATTCGATCCAGATGAGGCACTCATGGCCGCTATCGAAGGTAACGGAATAGACTCCTCGCCAATTCCACGCAGCATTTGCGACTGCGAAGTAGTGATAATCTAATAATATCTCAAAATCGAGGATTACTCGCTAATTTACTTGACTTCTTTATCTGTCAACGTTTGTCGACAAGTCATATAGTTATTAGATTCTTATTTCCCTAGATCTTTCTTTAGGTAATTCTTCCCTAAAAACGGTTGTTTATATAGCCTTCATAATTTCAGCTACGTCGAGACCAAAATAGTGTTATAAAGCTTATATAAATACACTTGTTGAAGGCGTGCTGCGTTTCTTTTTCGCTTGGAGTCATTGTGACGTAAGAAACACGGGGCAACATAAGTCCAGGCATACAAGTTGAGTCCAAGTATAGCCCCATCATGCTGTAGCTTTAAGACTGCTTTAAATTTAAGTAGTATCCTTACCTTGCGATGAGTCTAGAGACGACAAGGAACCTTATCTAATATGGTAAGGCGGGCCCATTAAGTTGTAACTTTGCATGTATAGGTATGACTTGATCTCTCAATTATGCTGCAGATATTGCAGACTCAGTTATACATGTTCTGGTCTTGTTTCCGTGCTAGCTTAAGCGAAGTTTGGCCGCTTATCTATAACCTATTGTCCGTTAAGACCGGGCAGTCCATAAGAAGTTAGATAAACTGATTTTAGACTTTGAAGGTAAAAAAAATCAAAACTCTTTTGATGCGAAGTGAAGTCTGTTGCCGCAACCGTGATTCTTCGGTAGTATTGAGGCATCTGCACATTATAGAAAACCTTTTTAATTAGTAACATCGATTCTTTTTTGGATCGATTTTGACTAAATGGCAAACATTATAGATCCTTGTTTCAATTACCGGATGCATTATGATCAGTGAACTAAGTGCTATTTATTAAGCATGTTTTTCATATGCAGCTGGTGCAGAGGAGATGTTCGAAATGGGCGAAAACGACTCATTGGTGTACGAGTTCCTTTGTACTCCGACTGGGTACCTAAGTCTTATGGGCGTCTTACAAAAAGGCGGATACCAATTGCATGATTTCGGAACGAAATGGATTCCCATGATACCGATTACACTCGATGAGGCTCAGATTAACAAGGTAGGCGCCTTCTGCGACGACCTCGAAGAAAATACCGAAGTTATTAGTACCCATACAAACATTGCGTAAGTCTTTACGAAGCGTCTTTGGTGAGCGACAACGTACAGAATGGTGCCTCTGGGTACTTACGAAAAGGTCACTCAACATGTTAAAGAGAAGTTCTACGCCCGTAATTATTTAGTGTGTTGGAAGATCATTCTATACTGAGCACGAACAGGGCAGCAGCAGCAAACACGTTGAAGGGTCCTTTTAAATCAGGCGTGCTGCGGACATTGCTAACATAATGTCGTGTTATGGCAATGCGATACTATCGGATATGAAAAATACAGTTAGAGACGATGACTAATGTAAGCACCAGTGGTTTAAACGAGTGAAGGCGTGCCATAAGTGCGCTAACCAAGATATGAATAAATTTTTATTGTACTCTCTTTTTAGTTGGGCGTACTCATTGGTTTGATCAATTAGCCGTATATATATGAGAAAACCTTCATCTAAATTATGTTTCACTTATTGAACGACATTAATATATTTATATTATTGAGACATTTATTGTATTGTTATTTTTAATTTTTATTATTATATCGTAAATTTAATCCGTTTTTCAACCGAACTTTTCCGGGAAAGGTCTGCATGTATCACACGTACTTTTAGCGTATCCCATGCTTGGACTTCATCATTACAGGTACAACAGTTTTTCTTGAAATAAGTTCGACGAGAGGTACTTCAATGCGATTGATGAGCAAGTGACGGTTTTCTGGATCTTATTGAACCGAGCAGAAAGATTTTCCCTTAAGTTTAATTTTACTTATTACCCAACGCGTCTCTTTCATTGCAGTCTTAGGCAAGCGACAGTACAAATCGTCGACCTAAACAAAGCGGTTTTACGATAAAAGCAAGTGTCCATGCAGAGTAACCAAAGAGAGAGAAAAAAAGACACTCTATCATTGCGTTACCTTAAAACAAAATTTCTTAGAACATATGTTCTATACGCTGCCAAGGCTGGCTACGGTCTGAGTTATGCAGCATAGACTGAAGCTCTCACTATTCCTCCCATCTTCGACTCACGTTGATATGCTCGAGAACCTCGGCCAGGTAGACAGATCGAAGCGGCTTCGATCTAATTTTTTCGTATTTTTCAGTCGTTTTAACGCCCTTTTCGATGTATTCCCTGCGAAGATAAGTGTCATAGGGCGATATGCTCGTTAAACGACCTAGACAATAGTAATTCATCAGTTAATTAATTTCTTTAGCCGAACTACGGAGCTGTCTTTGCTATAATGGCTTCTGTCAATGAATGCGCAAAGCCTAAAAAACGGCTTTTTTCCGTGCTAGTTATTAATCAAACGAGGGCAGCTATCTACTATGTTCTTGATAGCAGTCTTAATTAACGGCTCCAGTTTCTTTTTCAATGAGTGAACCCGTACTCTGTTAATTTGGCAAATAAACCAGCCCGTGCGATCGGCTAGCTTATCATTTTTTTGGCCCCCAACTTATAGATGCAAAAGTTACCCGATCGTATTATCATCGTACCGTGAATTTCAAGCAATTTTTTATCGCGAAGAAATTCCAAGACACAACTACTGATGAATTTTCTGTATCATACAATAGTTTACGTACGTCGGCAGGTGCTTTTCCTCAGCTGTGGTGAGATAGGGCTTTGAAATGTAGACGATATTTTCCTCTTCAATGGCCAGTTCTTTCCACATGCGCAGCTTATGACCCTTCTTCAAGTCAGGAACGATTCGGACCTTCCTGCAAAATGAAGAACAGTACCAAACTAGTAAAAAAAAAAACAGTAAAACTGTGTTCCATTGTTCTTTTTATCCAGTATCATTGTCGCCAGACTGATGTCCTATGCAGTAGCTCCTTTGTTAGTAGTATTCAGTATATAGAATCCCGAACTATATCTTAGATCTCTCATAGATTCTGTACCTAATTCGACGTCTTTTATAGCCACTTTTAAACACAAGAAAACCTACAGATGCCGCGAATTCGAATAGGTCCTATTTATCTATAAAAAAAAAAAAAAAAGGTAGAAACTGATATCACTGTTTTTTTTTGTCAGCACATGATCTCAATAGAGATTTGTGATTACATTTTCGAATGTGTGCATGTAGCCATGTGCGTATATCGTAACTATTCGGATAAAGAAATTAAAAAACGATTTGTCCGTACAGCGGCCCCACAAGGCCGTATACTTTTTCGTTAACTCACCCGGCATATAGACTTCCAGGTATTCTCCTTTCGAACCTGAATTTCTGTCCTGTAATTCCCTTTTTTTTAAATACACCAAAAAGCACATGCGTTAAGCGCATTTTGCCTCACTTTATTTTGTTTTTCTACTGTCGCAATTCTTCTGTTGTTCGCAATTGTTCTTCTGTTTACTTGATGGTATGAAACGAAACGCCGCACGTCTCCTAATACACTGGAAACTCGATAAAATCGTTAGCGTATCCGTCAACCGCCTCTCATGAACACTAGTGGTATTTCGTAGCAGTCGACCAGCCCGCATCGCAAGCTAACCGGTTTCGAATCCACTTCCAATTGCAACACTAATCTGCACTAACCATTGCTTACGGCCGCAGACCAAGCAAGACAACAGTTACGTCTAGTAACAAAATATGAGTACCCGTGGATACCTTCAACTACATTCCTGCATTTAATCTATTCAAAGTTTCGCGCCACCAACAAAAGCTATGCAGATGATGAACATCTCTGCCTATTTACTACGCTTGGGAGCTGCCATTTGGCTGAGTTTGAATCCAAGCGTGAACACAGTTCCTTCTGTAGTCTGAGGTCAGCAGTCTGATAGAATGCCTAACGACGGTAGAAAACGTAAAACTCGAAACTTTTAGTTTGGCTGCCGGTTATCGCCTATATTCGCATGTACTATGCGAGTTTCGAAGGCACCCTGTATGTCTATGGCCTGATAAAAATCTGCGGCTGTCGTTTCCCTCGCCCAAGCTCTTCTCTCCTGCTTCCCTCCCCTCGCTGCTTTGTGAGCACTAGCGCAAGCGAATACAACGTAGCCCAGCAAGCAGCGGATGGCAGGGCCAGCTAGCTACGTTGAACGAGCGGGCCTATTTGTCCGACGCCTACGATCTGAGTACTGTGGCCACCGCCGTCACTGTCGTAGTCTTGTCCTCTAAAGAGGACAATTCCAGCAGCCACCACTACACTCCGCAACTATTCGTCATGTGAATATAATTGTGATAAGTGCGTAACAGTAAATCTACCAGTGGGACCGTGCTGTGGTCTTTTGCTGCTGTTTCCAAGCATAGGGAAAACGCTGCTCTTCGCGCACAGAGAAGCCGTCGTCTGGCTCGGACAGTTCTGTTGTCCATATATTGGAGACGTAGACCAGGTGGAAACTCGCTGCATTAGCATTATTTAGCTTCGTCGCCAGAGCTTTGGATTTTATTGTTGGTAGTAATAGAAGTTAATATAGAGAAGCGTTTACCAAAGAAGAGTAAACGCTACAAAGGTGCACGGTAGGGAGATTGGGTGGTAGGCGACCAGTGCAATAATAATCTGACCTGGGTGTCTGTTTTCTTTTGTCTGCGTATATATATGTAGATGTGCATTAAATAGCAACAATGAACACAGTCCGGTGCGCGGAGAGCATGTTTGAGTGATTCACCATGCTTTTTTTTTCTCTTCGTTGTGGATTACTACATTACAATCAGTGACGTAAAAACTAGAGTACACACTTCAAGGTTTATTCTCCGATCTGACGCGGGTCTTGCAACGACGACGGGCCGAAATCACACCGCTACTTCGACGGAAGACGACGACGACCACGGCAACAGTGGCTGGCAAACTACCAAGGAAATAGTTCTGTAGGAATTTCTGGAAAAGATGCGCGTTTTTGCTTATTAGTGAATATAGTATGTAAATCATAATGTGAATACCAACACACTGTTGTGAAATTCTGCTCCACGATCGTCACTACGAAGACAGGATTATTGCTATGAGCGATGTTCGTGCTCCGGATGGCGTCACTGTGACGGCAATGATTGTGGTGTGATCCATAACGCAAGGGGGGGGGGGGTAAATACGCCGAAGTAGCTTGTCGCAGACGTCCGTGTATTACGCCTTGCCACAGCTCACGTTGCCCCCGTTTTCCGTTGTCAGCCGGTCGTCACGACGAATACCCATTGACAAGCTATTGGTTACGGCTACTGAGACGGCGTCGTCTTTGTCGCCATCGGCAAGAACCGCGCCCTCCTATTTCTATTCATTCGATAAAACACCACCCCTCTCGTAACAATGTGGATGTATACGCCCCTGAAGATTTTAGGCCGAGATGATGGCTGGTTTACAGCTACCCTAGTCACCGGTTTGGCAGTCCTAGGAGGTGTAGTGTGTAGTGAGGCTGAGCCCTCTGGAGGGGGGCCCGACGAAGTCGTGTTCATTGGCTTCGGTGGTACCGTGATCGGGTGCGTGGTTCTCACTATCACGGCGTTTCTTTTAACCGTCGGCGGCTGCCTCTGCTGTTCCGAGGAAAGACTCAAGGTATGATAGTAATTATTGATGATTATTATGATAATAATTATTCACTTTTTATTTATATGTACTGCGTTGGGCAACACACGTAGGAGTCTCAGTTTGTCATGGAAATACGAACGTAAAATGTTTGCATATGTATTAATAAAGGTGGTGTCGTCGGTGGTTGTTCGTGGTAATCATGTGAACGCTGGCAGTTAACGCAGGGGAACGCTTTTTGTTACATAGAATAGGAGGGCCTAATTTCTATGATTATTATTGAGTAACTAATTTGAGACATGTCGAGAACGATGTAGAAGTTATCGAGCGCTTAGGGCAACCACAAGTATGAAAAGTCATTCTTAAATGCCTTTCCACTTAAGCTGTGTTTATTATTATTATTAGCATTATTGTAAGCAAGCGCTTCTGACTACCTCAAGCAAAAGGCAGACATTTTGATAGATCCTTTTTTCAAGAATGATGGATCGGGCAGCATGGGACCGCGATTTTAACACTAGTCGTTAGGAAATATGGTACAAATTTAGTGAAGCACAAGGCTCGTTTTCGATGTTTTGTTGATATAGTGATGCAATAACTTTTACAGCAAATGGCGCATCGGCGCAGGTCGAGGGAAAAATAGAGCAATTTTGTCTTAATGTTCCAGTTTAACTTGAAAGGACCCTCTATATCGAACTCAATGAGTCTAATAGCAATCAAAATATGGTTTAATTGATAAGCATCCCTTCTAGGACACGCATTAACGCGAATTGGACTGGTTTTTCAACGTACGCTACTTGCGACTACATATAGCTGTTAGAGAAGTGACTCAAGTAAAAACTGTCTAGGACATAGTGTATACCTGTCGACGGTTGTGGTATACGGTAATGATTTGGTCTTTGTCATATGAGGAAGCCTAAAATCTATTAAAATGAAGCGTATAAATAACGCTGTGTTGCTGCATATAAAGTTTGAGGCGCGGGTTCTAATATACATGTAGTAGTTAGTAATGAAAAGTGCGTCTAGAGGAACCTCTTTTCGTGTCATAATCAAAATTTTATTACCTGTGATCGTAGCAAATAGGACTAAACAGAACGAGATGATAAACTCAGTTGTTGCACCCTTTCTGAAGATTTTCCGCTCCCTCAGATGCCCGGATATTTGATTATTGTATACTAAGACCGGCTTTCTGTTTTAGTCTAAAAATGAGACACTGAAAAGCTAGCATTTTTACCCGGCCTGTAGTGTAAAGCTACGGATTTCGTTTAGGCATTATCACAACACGGCTTCAGCTAGCCCCAAGAATGATTTCGTTCGCAGATTATTAAAAACAAAGTAAACTTTTGCCAAAGTTTGTTTCTGATGAGATTCTCTTCCAGTGAAGTTAAGATAACTGAGTGGTTGCCTAAATGAAATAACAATCGGACCAAACCCAGCATAGAAGCATTTTTGACCCCTTGCAGCCCAGCTCGTCACATAGGAACTCGATGCAAAAAATAAACATCATTCAAATTGAATTACAAAATCTTTCGAAAAGGATATACATTACATCTATGTAAGACATTCACATGAGTAAGGCTTCAAATGTTGCACATTGTTCTCTTTCACTAGGCGCGTGCTTCATAGCACAGCCGACTGCACACCTCTGTCTCTAAAATCAGTCTTTTTTGCGTTTCATACACTCCCAAGTCTTAGCATTAAGATAAGTTTCCGCGCTTGTAACTTGTCCGAAACTGTAAAAATAAACTACTTTTGCCGCTGGAGGCATTTCTGCTCCACGTCCGACACATCGCCACACGCGACGTTGCTCACATATCTACCTAACAACAGGCGATCAGTCCTGTGTCGTAATGTCTAATACGGGAGAAGCATTTACAACGAATCGTAGCAAAGCATTAAAAAATATCTACCAACTATAATGGCTGACAATCTACCGATGCCGTAATCACTACCACCTTTTCTACACCTTGTACTATTCGACGGCAGAAAGCGCGAGACACATTTATTGATTGTGTTGTTCGCATAGATCTAGATGGTCCCGATCTGTCTATCACGTACGCGAGAGATGACTGTCGTCGCCGCCGCCGCCGCGATCGTCATTGACTGGGTTTCTTTCCTGTCCTGTCCCAAATCGCCTGTACGGCTCAGCGATCTTCCTGCTGTCCGCTTGATACAGCTTTGATCTCAACCAGCCTGGCGGCTACTTGAGTTCGTGAACCGTTAGCACCACTTCGTCTGCGCAGAGACACTACGACAGACATGAACGGCAATACTGTTACCGAACGCATATCGTTAACCAGTAAAACGCACAAAATAATGATGACGGCACTCTTCACTGGCGCTGCATTCACTGTCACATACCCAGCGTCGTCATAACTGTAGACGAAACTGCAATTCGTTAACCCGATAAAAGTGTTAGGAACAATGTCTGATCACAAGATATTGCTGGTGCCGTCGTTGGTTTTCTTCCAGGCGCAGTACCGCTCTACAAAATGCGATTTATATAAATATATATATACACAGAGAACACAGATAAATAACTATGATAATTAGTCTTGAGCTTTTTAGTAAAATGGTATCTCCGTTTTTTGGGAAACGGTTGTTCTACAATTGGCTAAAGAAATAGATGTATAATTTATACTATACATGTGAATCGCCATGTTCTAATGAAGGCTGTGAAAGCTTGCGTGCAGGCAAATAGGAGATTGTGCTGGTTGGATGTAATAGGACTGTACAGTTAGGTAAGTGTTTCGGTCATGTGCCAGGCTCAGCACTATGGCTATATAAATGTTCAACTTTGATTCAGTAAACCATTGTCAATTAAGTTATATGGTATAATTACCTCAACAGAAACTTTAATCCGCTATATTGATTGTACTCGTTTAACAATTTCGAGCAGCTCAAATGACTTCCGCTCACACAAAAGTATATCGTTACTTAGAAATGAAACGCTTATCAGGCGCTAAACAAAGCTTTGGATACGATAGTTAAAACAGCTATTTCTAGAAAATTGTTCGGGGCATTTATGCTCAGTGAGACACGGCCATGCAATAGAGATTCGTTACGGATGGACCTCTACGATCGAGATCAGACTATATTGCGTTTAGGCGTCAACGGTCTCTTCCTCGCTTTATTGCTACTAATGGGACATTGAACCTAACACAGCGCCGATACAAAGCATGTACTTAATTTGGCCTGCAAAAGGCCAATGTGACACGAGGCGGTTAGCATTTGTCGAATGTGAGGCCGCTGTGCTAATATCGCTGAAAAGTGACAGCAAGCGAATTTTTTTAACATCGCGATATGAAACAACTCTCACGCCATGCTGAATTGCAGTAGACAGACGATATCATGACCAATTTGATTAGATTCGGAAAGACCTCGGGTAGAATTTTCTAAAAATGAGTTTTCGATTGCGTCTCCGCTAATTTAGACGGGAACCTAATCATCGGCCGGTAAGTGGTTGAACCAAGTACCACAATAATGAACAGGGTGCGCTTTTCGAACCCGAGATAAGCGCCTCTTGTGGTCCCCAATGAATCGTAATGGAAAAAAAGGTTGCTACTAGCGATGATCTCTCTAATAGGTGCGACATTTTTAGCTAGAAATAACTTTTACCACTCTACTCTATAGAGACTAGTAACAGGGGAAAACGCATAGCATAGACGAATAGTTACAGAGCAGTAGGTGCTCATTCAAAGGTTGAGTCTGTAACAACATCAACATAGCTATTGATTATTGTGTTACTTACTAAATCACTATTACAAAAATCTGTTATGAGCTACCTCAAGTAAAGGTGTTTTGCACCATATAACATGAAACTCCACCTGTCTTCTGCAACTTGCTTGAACTCTGCACGAACTGTGTTTTTGCCATCCGTACGTTTAATCGGAGAAATCAATCAAAGCGAGTTAAACTCAACACCGTAGAAATGTAAGGGAACGGTGACAGTGGCTAATTGACACTTGAAAAAGCCGACGACCCCAGCAAATAGCTATTGTTGTACTTAGGCTTACGACTGGCTGTCAAGATCAGGCGCAGTGGTAATCCGTCTGCTCTCCAAATCAGCCATGCTTTCTTATGGCAACTTCTTGCTACTTCGAGGAAGCGTTACTCTCAATGCCTTCACCCTAATAGCCATGCGACATGCAAGTCCGGGTGCACGAAAAGCGTGCGACGGATCGGACAACGAAAGAAAAATTGATACAGAGCGATTGAGAGAGAAGCATTTAATGAAACACCGAAGCGTATAAGAAAATAAAAAATGATAATGATTTTCTAAGCGACAGCTCACGCAAACCTGCTTCTGCGCTTGACGTCAGAATAGAGCACGATCGCGCCCCGCTCATTCCCTTTTTCTTCTATCCTCTGCCTTTTCGTTGTCGCCGTGCTCACGCTACGCGAGCTGGCGAACGGACGCGCCGGGATCTTTCAACTTGCCCGCTTCCTCGCTGTGTCGTCGTGTGGCTTATGGTTCTAAACGACGTTGACGGTAAAGTGACATAGCAATGCACTATTGTTACACGTGTCAAAACGAGAACAGGACGTCGAATTGAACGTCGTACAAACAAATAGGCAAGAAGTGCGGTTTATGTATCGAGTGTTTTTACGTATATCGGCGGTGCCGATGCAGAATGCGGAGGCAGCAAATGAAGGTACGTCGAGCTTACATCAGTTGTGGACATGGTGCGCGTTACGTCCTAGCGAACAGCGATGGGAACCCTGGTCGCGTAGCTTGTGTCTCGAGCGCCTCAAACAAGGCGTACTTCAAAGGAGAGGAATTTGGTAGAAGAACAAAAGGTATGAGATGTCTGAGTTTGGGAGAGGGGAAGGAGTGAGCAGAAAAATTGTACGATCTTGAAGTACAAAGAAATTTGTCTCAAACGAATTTGAGTTGATAGTAGGAGGGTTGGCGCAGACGAATGTTGATCGTAAATGTGAGTAAGCAACAAGTCGATAGTGGGAATGTCGAAAAGAAAGATTTCCTTATCAGCAGCAAAGGTTTAGTGTTTGTATATCAAGTATCTCGATTA